AGGGAGTTGACATTCTAGTATGGAGAGACAGACAATAATTATGTCAAAAAACAAGATAGTTTCAGGTACATAGGTTCTCTAGAGAGGACAAATCTGGTGATGTAAAAAGTGACTATTGGGATGTGGATGTATAACAGTGAATAATTTTCTGAAGAGGTGGAAAGAGATCTGAGTTGGCATCTCAGTGGAAAGAAAATGATGGTCATGCAAAAGCCTAGGGGAAGAGCTCCAAGCAGAAAGGACTAGCAAGTGCGTAGGCACTGAGATAGGAAAGAAAATCCAGTGATGCTAGAGCTTTATATAAAAAAAAATTGGACAGCAATGAAGTTGAGGAACAGTGAAGTTGAATAAATGAGCTGGGGCCAGATTATATTAAGCCTTTTAAGACTTTTAGACTCCAAGTGTATTGGGAAGCTATTGCAGGGATGTAGCAGATGAAGAATATGATCTTACTTCCACTTTAGGAAGATGACTCTGATAAAATTCCTCCTACTCTGTATTTTACATTCACTAGTTTGGCACAACCTGCCAGTTTTATCTCTGTGATTGCCCTTTCATCTATCTATTCTTCTCCATTCCCACTGTCACTATTTTAGTTCAAGACTTCATTTTCTTGAGCGATTACTATGGCCTACTAAGTTGCCTCGCTGCCTCCAAACTTTTCCCTTTCTGATCCATTCTAATTTCTGCTGTTAGATTCCTTCGACTTAAAAAGCCATCAGCCTCCCAATGGTTCCAGAGTTAGGTCCTACATCCCTATGTAGAAGGCTTTTGAAAGAAATCTTGTGTTTGTACCCAGTGGCCTGGCAGGGTGATCTAGTATTGTTATATTTATTTGAGGAATCGAGTTTCTCAAAGGAAGAGATTCAGTTTTAAAAAGAACTTCAGCCCCCTGGCTTGATCCAAAGATCAATATTGGTCAATATTGGAAAAGAAATCTGATTTTGGATGTAGCTTAGGCATGCCACACAAGTTTCCCTGTAGCCCAACCTCATGGAGTGAGGCAAAATTTCCAAGGGAAGTTGGATATCATAAACAGAAATTATTTAAAAGAAAACAGTAATGACAATAACAACAGCAAAAACACACAATGTAGCAATACTTGTGTCCTCATGAAAGGTATGCCTACTCCCTTATTAGAAAACCTGTGTACCCCAAAGACAAATCCTTGTAAGAAAAGTGATGTTACTAAGCACTCAAGAAAGATTTAACAATGGTATATTCTACTATCTAATGGAGAAAATTATCAGCATTTATTGGAATGATCCTAATAGTTTTTTAACTTTACCAGATACAAGCTTTGTTCAAATTTGGATCAATCTTGTACAACTCAGTGAGTTATTCAGGGCACTGTTTGGCTATTAGTGGAAATCATCACAGACAGGCCCTAGATAAGTGGATGAAATCAGTGGAGAACACATTGTGCTGCGCGTTTATATTACAGCAATTAATCTGGCATCTGGGAGGAACACAGACTAAGGTCTTAACATCATTCCTCCATCAGAATCCTTCCTCATTTAGCTCATTTGGGAAGCCTTGCTGAAGCCTGAAAATAAAGGATCATAGATGAAAGTTGCCACATCCTGTTGAGAATGGGCAATTATCCTTTATTTGATTTCCAACTTTCCTTGTAAACATGCCAACAGATAAAATGTTGGTTTGAGTGGAGGCCTGTGAAAATTAACTTTTTCTCACCACATGAGTAAAGCATGTCCTCAGGCCTCATTTCCTGGAGATGGCTGTGTACCTACCAAGCATTACCTTTCAATGGCTATTTCTCCATAACAGAAAGTAACCATTATAAAAGGGAATGAAATGGTCAAGTCAGTGGACCAATGACCTATTTTTGTGATCACACCATACTGATCACTTGTTTTCATTGTTAAAAAAAGATAGTTTTAATGTTTTCCCTTGGAATGTTGGGTTCCAAGTATGGCAAGATGGGGGTTTTGCTTCCTCAGGTTTTGTTCTACAAGGGCGTTTGCCCATTTCTGATTGTCCTGCATAGGAATGCTGATGCATGGTTGACACAGGTTTACAATCATGTAGGCAATATAGTCAGCCACACAGAGATTATTGGAGAAATAATTGACACAGAGGAATCCAGGGTAAAAAAATTCGAGATTTTCAATCACAATCCAAGTCTTAACTGTCAGTTACTAACTGGTTTTATATATCATTGAAGTTGAATTTATTTTTATGTGACAAAAAACATGAAATTTACCACCTTAACCATTTTTAAGTGTAGTTTAGTGTTGTTAAATGGAGTCTTCATTTCTCCATCTCCTGAGCCCCTAGTAATCACCATTCTACTTCCTGTTTGTATAAATTTGACTAGTTTGGATACTTCATATAAGTGGAATCATTCAGTATTTGGCTTCTTATTTCACTTAGCGTAATGTCCTCAAGGTTTACCATGTGGTAGCATGTGACAGGATTTTTTCCTTTTTAAGGCTGAATAATATCCTATTGAGTGTATATACCATATTTTGTTTATGCATTCATCCATTGAGATTATATTTTGTTATCTGTAAAATGGGAAATAATAAATTATTTTCACCTCAAAATCTTCCTCTAGTATAAATGCTGAAACAGTATATGGTTTTAACTCTTATATTGGAAAAGTATGCTATAGCAGAAAGTATATCTCAGTTCTAATTTTGGCCATGTTTCCAGTTTTCTGAGTATACCAACAATCTATGTACTCTGCAGCCACAGTGTATAATCTGTAAAATCTTATCTGTTTTAACTATTCATCAGAATTTTTGAGAGGTGAAGAGGCATTTCATTCCTCAGAAATCTCTCAGTAATTCTTGGTGCCTAGGTGCTTAGCTGTTCTTTTTGTGACTCTTACATCACTCAAGAGGGTCAGGATCTTAGTCTGGTCTCTTGATCTATGAAAATTATTGAGTCTAAACCAGATCATTGAAATAACTGAACTTTAAAACCAATTAAAAAAATCTCTAAAAATAAACAGACGTTTTATGTCTTACTCCAATGTTATTTTGGTATTTTAAGAAATGCTATGTGACCAAAAAATGCTATGTGACTAAAAATACTTTGTAATTTTAGAATCTCCTTTCCCAAAACTGTATGTTCCAACCACTCCCTTCTTTTCCTTGTCGAAGTCTCATAACAACACAGACACTGCCCACCACATGCCCTCAAAATATCCTATAGAATTGTACTAGATAAGCTTTAAGGCACATAGGAGAATTCTATAACTTGTACTTTTGAACTTTAGGTAGTTTTCCATTGCATCAGTTCTGGGATTTTCAGGATCTGTGCCAAATGTGTGGCCAGCCATGCCACTAAGGACTTGTAACTGTTAACTATCAAAATGATGGACTTACAGGTGGAGAGAGATATCTATATTTTGAAGGACTATGGATACTAAATATGTAACATTATTAAACATTACGTTAATTTTTGTTTAAATTGGGAAAAGTAAAGCAATAGGAGTAAGTTTGAAAATACGAGTCTAAGAAATATACTGCCTGGCTAAAATCTGGTTATTAAGTGATTGAACAAAAGGAAGCAAGAACTAGGAAGATAACAGAAGTTTGCTGAACTCTCCCGCTCCCCTGTTCCAGTATGCCATTTAGCTTCATGACCTGGTTACGAGGTTATTTAAGTGCAAGATTTATGTTAGAGATGGAGCAGACCAAGGTCATCAAAGGAGTGTGAAGTGAGAAACTTATCAGAATAGAGGGAGCTTTGTGATTACAGTTAGATTTGTGTTAGGTTGATTATCAACACTTCAGGTTAAATTCAGTTAGAAAAACGCATCTCTCAAAGGCAATGTTTAAGAACTAGCTATCTTAGAATGACTTTATTTCCAACTTATACCATTTGAATTTTATGCTAAAAACTTCTTTAATAAAAACCTAAACAATTAACAATACATAAAGTATGAAATGTATTTTATTGTGAATATCTAAATGGTCATCGAGAATCTTGAAAATAATGTCATATATAGTTTTTTACATATTTAAAATGAAGAGTGTCTATTTATCCTATTGATAATTATTTATATTCTTTGGTGGTGTTATCTGGACATGCAACTATTAAAAGCATAGACTCATTAGAAAGTATTTTGATGAAACATAATGAAAGCCAGAACAAAAACTTTAATAGGATATTTTAGACAAGGCTTTTTGTTATATCTATATGTAGCCAGTCTAAGCCATATATCTATATGTATACCAGTCTAAGAAATATAATGCCTGGCTAAAATCTTGTTATTAAATGATTGAACAAAAGGAAGCAAGAATTAGGAAGATACAGAAGTTTGCTGAACATGTAAACATGTTGCCTGATGCTATTCAATTATAAGTGATGAGAAGGCTTAAAGAAACAATTCCAATTATGTATGAGTTAAAATGTTATGTGCATATGACATAAGTCTTTATTTTGAACATAAAGTATATACAGTTTTATTAATGGAAATTTCTTCCTATTATTTTAAAATAAATATTAAACAATATGAGTTTGATGAAGTATCAAATTGCTGGTTGGCACATGTTCCAGTCTGGATACCAGTCATTTTATGGAATTCATGAGGTTTTTGTCCATACATGGGAAGAAGACTGATCAGGCAGTTACAAAGAAGCATAGATGAAGGAGTGGTTAATTTTACCTGATAGTGAAGATGGAAATTCAAGAAACCTTCATAAAAGACATAATGCTTGAACTTGCTTTAATCATGACAGTTCCCTGAGCAAAGGGGAGATATCAATCGTGGAAGATGAAGTGGAAGTGTGAGGCACAGCAATGTGGAGCATTGTGGTTTGTGTGCACACAGAGATGAGGCAGGCAAGAAATGAAGAAGAAAACTAAATGCTTGATGAAAAATTAGAGTTTGGAAGAAGGAGAAAATGGTATTAAAGACAATGCTAAGATTTCAAGTCATATTCATTTGTCCTTGAAAACATTTTTGATTGTTATATACATGGATACTACAATGTTTTGATCAAAACCTTATAAAAGTATCTACAAACAGTAAATCTTTTGTCATCAGACATTAGAAAAAAAGTACTTATAACATTGATAATAATCCTGTTAAATAAAATCTCTTCCTGAAAGAAAAGCACAAATCAGTTTTAAAAATAAGGAGTAAGGGGTAAACCTCATTCAACCTGTGTGGCGTTTATGCTATGGTAGAACAAGATACTGTCTAAAGTATGGCGATTAACAAATCCTTCTTTAATCTAGGAAGTGTAAAATCAATCTTTAACACTTTTAATATTTATTCAAATGTGGTGGGGGGGGAGGAGGAAGGGAGAGAAAGGCAGGGAGGGAGAAATGGGAAAGAGAGATTTTAGAAATACTCTTTTAAGAAGGACATATCAGGCAGATATAACATGCATAATCTTCACAGGGATATATGCTTCATTGTATATGAAAATACAGTAATTATTTAATTGGTTAAACTATAAATAGCAGAAGTATATAAACAATTGAATTTATTTAGAATTTTTGCATACAAACAAGCACCCATGATATGAAGTAGAAGAAAAATAGAGCAGAATGCATTATAACATCGTTGTTTCTCCAGTGATGATATTAGATGTAGCAGGATTTCTTGCTCCCTCCATATTTCCTGATAAGAGAATATAAACTTCACCACTACTCCATATATACACCTAAAATGTCCTCAGCTGTTTTTGGAAGTCCCCAGAGAGAATCTTATGAGTGTTCCCAAATAGATGCTCTCAGTGACTACATGTTTCTTTTTCTTTTGGTCCATGTTTCTTTTGGAGATGTCACCAAGAAGATTCATGAAGGAGTGTTGGTCTCTCCCTGCTTCTTGGTTTGTTTCCTACTATTATCTGTTAATCACCACTGTACCAGGATCTCACTCAACTGAAGTTCTTCTTTTTTTTTAAATTTTTTTTTTCAACGTTTATTTATTTTTGGGACAGAGAGAGACAGAGCATGAACGGGGGAGGGGCAGAGAGAGAGAGGGAGACACAGAATCGGAAACAGGCTCCAGGCTCTGAGCCATCAGCCCAGAGCCTGACGCGGGGCTCGAACCCACGGACCGCGAGATCGTGACCTGGCTGAAGTCGGACGCTTAACCGACTGCGCCACCCAGGCGCCCCTGAAGTTCTTCTTTTAAAGAGGGAAAGATACCTCCAAGCACACAAATCTATGTGTCATTCCTTGTCACAAAAGTCTCAGACATGTCAATTTTATTCCCCCAAACTCACTTAAATCATGCATAAACATTTTTTCAGCATCTTGCTTGAGCATCTTTTTTTTTTTTTTTTTTTTTTTTTACTTACATAGGAGTTCATGAAGGTTGGCCTAGAAGCTAGCAGTCTACTCAAAGCAGAGCTTGCTTTTTATGCTGAATCTTTTCTTGTCTTTTATTTGAGGATTAGAATTTACAAATAATTGTTTGATTTAAAACTTTTTAACAATTCTGTTATATAGGTAGGACACATTAATTATCATCACTTTATAGACCAGAAACCTGAAACTTGAAAAGCTGCATTCACTCAGCAAGTAAATTGCAGAGCTGAAACTCAAATCCAAGTTGTCAGAATCCAGATATAGTCCACTATGCTCAACTGTCTTCACAGAGATGGGAGATATGCTGTGTGTCAAATGCCATCCTATAATGTGTAACACCTGCAATTGCAGAATGACATTCTGCCCTTAACAGAGTAGATTCCTCTTACTGATTTTAGGTACCTCATCAAAGCCATCATTCCTCTCAACAAAAATGCATGTTACTGGGGAATTATGTGGAAACACACACTTCACTTTTTTTTTTTTTTTTTACAAATAGATCCAGGGTTTTAGAGATGTCCTGAACCACAGAGCTATATTAAAGGAACATCTGCCCTCTGCTTACTGATTCGGTTCTCTAAAGCGGCTTTTATAAAAGAGGTTTTACTGTGTGTATTTCAGTGTTAGTATATATATTTCTTTTGATTTCAAAATCCTTTATCCAAGGTGTATGTTCTTATTAAAAATATTAAATATGCATAGAGGGGATTGAATCTACATGGTAAAGGATAAATTTAATTGAAACACTCAAAAGTTCTCTTTTCCTGGAAGTTGTATTAACAAATTATGGTTTCTTATGTTTACAGTAATGAATTGAACTTTTAAATAATAATACCTGTATATTTGAATTGAATTATATATATAATCTATATTTATAAATCTGTGTATATGTATGTGCAAATATATATTTAATTGCTTCTTCAAATTACTTAAGCAGATTTGAGCAAACACTTCTTGTGCAGACACTTAACAAAGTATTAAAAAAATTTTTTTTAATGTTTATTTATTTTTGAGAGAGAAAGAGACTGAGCACAAGCAGGGGAGGGGCAGAGAGAGAGAGGGAGGCACAGAGCCCAAAGTGAGGCTCAACTTGGGAATGGTGAGATCATGACCTGAGCCAAAGTCGGGCGCTTAACTGACTGAGCCACCCAGGTGCCCCTAACAAAGTATTTTTAATAATTAAAAAATTATGTCTGCATGACCATTTTAGTCAATTGAGGTGATTGACTAGTAACTGATCAATATCAATAACCTGTATGAACATTGTCAAGGATGGTAGTGGAGGTAGAAGCTCCACCTCAGTGGTTCTTAACCTTGGCTGCCCTCTGAATCACCTGACAGACCTTTAAAAAAATGCTTCATGCTGTGGCTTTAGTTTTAGGAATTTTGATTTGACTACATGGAGCATGGCCTGAACAATGGGATTTTTTTAAAAGCTTCTCCAGTGGTTCTAGTTTGTACCTAAAGTTAGCATTCACTGCCATACTGCATTTGTTTCCCCTCAAATGGAATAATTCTCAAACAGCACAGGAAAGAGCATATTCATTATAATCTGTCAAGCCAGGACAAATTGAGATTATTTTTGAGGAGAGGAGCTCTATTTAACTAGAGTATAGGGGACCAAAGTGGTAAATTCAGCCCACTCTTATAAATCATCCTTTTTTCTTCTTATAAATTACATACACCAGATAAAATGTGAATTGATAAACATGCAGCTATATGCTGCTTACATAGTCTGTGTAATTAACCTTTCTGCCTTGCATGATGAATTATAATCCATGATTGCATTTAATCAGAATTATGGAATGCAGTTTGTTTAAGTCTTACCTGAACCCTGTGATGTACCCCCTTATTCTTAACATGTCAAAAATGTACACCGGGTTACATTTTTGAATCATAGTTTAATAAAACCAGTCAAAAGTTAAAAAAAAAAAACACTCAAGGCTGAATTCCTGTCATCAGAGGAACTTTCAGTTTTTTGAACCATATCTAGAGTGGTTTAGGGAATTGGAATAGTAATAGAGGTAAGAGAAGGGAAGAGTTTTAGAGAAGCCCATGGACTATGGATCCAATTTAAATTTAAAAAAAATTTTTTTAATGTTTATTTTTTATTTTTGAGAGAGAGGGAGACTGAGTGCGAGTGGAGAGGGCTAGAGAGAGAGGGAGGCACAGAATCTGAAGCAGGGTCTGGGCTCTGAGCTGTCAGCACAAGTCTGACACGGGGCTTGAACTCATGAACCATGAGATCATGACCTGAGCTGACATTAGCACTTAACTGACTGAGCTACCCAGACACCCCTCCAGTTTAATTTTTTAACTCTTATTTATACTGATGGCTTTCCTGGAAACTCTTCTTCCTGCACCCCCATTTCAAGAAATGTAAAGTTAGCAATTGAAGATATATGCAGTTACTTGAGGAGGGAGAGTGTAGATTTAGAAGGATGATTTCAGGGCTGACTCCTGTTAGATGATGTTGTGCCGTTCTCTCCACTCCTGCATTTAGCCTATGCAATAACTAGCAGAACTGTACCTGGAACGACTGGGAGCAAACAGTTCTCTCTGGAGAGGTTTTAGATTTTAAATGCAGATGATTAGATCAAAAATGGAGTGAATATGAGAAAATGCAAATACATTTTTATCATTTACATATACCTCCAATTCTTTTTTTTCCCATCCCCATAATACCATATGATGCTGTTTTTTGTTTTTTTTTTGTTTTTGGGTTTTTTTTTGTTTTTTTTTGTTTTTTTTTGTTTTGAGTATAGTTGACAATGTTCCATTAGCTTCAGGTGTATAACTTAGTGATTTGGCAAGTTTATTCATTATACTATGTTCACCACAAGTATGCCTACCATCTGTCCCATTATATCATTATTATAGTATCATTGATTGTATTCCTCATGCTTTGCTTTTTGTTCCCATGACTCACTAATTCCATAAGTGGAGACCTGTGTCTCCCACTCCCCTTCACCCATATTGCTTAATCCCCTACCCTCTTTTCTGTCTGATAACCCTCAGTTTGTTCTCTGTATTTATACTTATGATTCTGGTTTTTGTTCATTTTTTTTAAGTCTTTGGGGTTTTATTTATTAAAAAATTTTTTTGAATCTTTATTTATTTTGAGAGAGAGACAGAATGTGAGCAGGGGAGGAGCCGAGAGAGACAGAAACGCAGAATCAAAAGCAGGCTCCAGGTCCTGAGCTGTCAGCACAGAGCCTGACATTGGTTCAAACCCATGAACTCTGAGATCATGACCTGAGCCAAAGTCAGACGTTTAACCGACTGAGCCACCCAAGCGCCCCTGTTCATTCATTTTTTTAAGATTCCATTTATGAGTGGAATTATATGGTATTTGTCTTTCTCTGGCTGACTTACTTCACTTAGCATAATGCCAAATAGGTTCACCCATGTTATCTCAGATGGGACAGTCTCATCTTTTTTTATGGCTGTGTAATATTTCCTTATAACTACAGTGCTAATGTAATCATTAAATCTTTTTCTTAAAAGTTGGTATTTCATTTTAAGAATGTTGGGCAACAGATATCCCTACCTCCCCCAAATGATGGTATAAATTCAGGGTTATAAAACCGACAGAAATGATTAAAAGATAATTAACATATCAAAGGCTATAAAATCATCAGTGTTAATAATCATGGAAATGTGTCAACATTCTGCCCTGTTAATAACTATGCTTAATAATAATGAGAATATTTTTTGAGTACTTAAAGGGCTAAGCACATTTTTAATTTACATGGATTAATTTATTTAAACCTCATTACAGCCCTAAGAGGTACGTCTTGTCATCTCCCATCTTACAAATGTGCAAATTGAGGCTAGTAAGGGAAATAATCTGCCCTAACTCAAGGTCAGGATATGAACTTGGACATTTTTGTTTCCAGCATCTACATTGTTAACTCCTATACAATATAATCTATATACTAAGTGGTTTGAATCATTTGGGGAAAAAAATGCAAGGATTTGAATTTCTGAGAAGAATTGCCCTGTATGACAGCAAGGTAAGTGGAGGAAGCCCTGAAAAATCTCATTCGTATTTTCTATTTAAGAGAACATGAAGAATCTGGCTTACCAGGAAAAAAATATGAAAAATGTTCCTCACTTGTTTTGATAAGCAGGACTAGAGACTGGGACTGGGATGCTACCCAACCTTGCAACAGATGAAACAGGAAGACACAAATAATCTCCTAGGAATAATTGTATTAGCCAATTATTAGGACTGGCAGCAGTAAACAGAGGAATCTGAGCAGAGGAAAATAATTGCACGTCAAACAAAAGTGGTGACCAGTGAACTGACCCTTGATGTAGGAGTTTAAACAAAATAAGACAAGAACAGAGACAGAGTTCCCCACCATAGACTTGGAATCTTCCTTATTCCTTTAGTAGTAGAATGTGTAACATGAGCAGATATTCCAGAAAAGGCATGAAACACCACTCAGGTAACTGAACTGAATTGAAGAAAATTCACTTCCATTATATTTTAGTTTTGTCTTCATTTTTATTCTGGTTAAAAAAAATTCTGTTCAAGTATGACAAACATGTAGGAAATTACATAAATCAAAAGAACAAAACAATCAAGAAATGACCACAAAGTGAAAAATTTCACGTAACCATTGCATGGATCAAGGGATAAAACATTTGTAGTGCCAAGATGTTTTCCTTAGACTCTCTTTTGACTTCTAACACCATGTATTGGTTTTGCAGATTTTTGTATTTTATATAAATGGAACACGATGCATATATCCTCTTGTTACTTGCATTTTGTACTCATGAAGTTCATTCCTGTTGTTACTTGTAGTAGTAATTCATTCATTGTCATTGTTATATATTGGTTGTGGCAGATTGCTGCAGTGATAGCTCCCAGTAAATCATGCTTGTCTGTGTATATGCCCTCTGTAATGTGCTGTTGGCTTCTTCTGTCAAAAGATGGAGGCTGTTTTTTCACTGTATTGAATCTGGGCTGGCTTTATAAATTCTTTGACTTAGATTTTGGTGGAAATGATATTATGCAACTTCTAGCGCTTCTTATCCCTGAGTACTTGCAGTTTCCTCTCTCGCCTTCTTATGTCCTTTTATTATCATGCTCTGAAGAAGCCTAAAGTAGCCTACTAAAGATGAAAGGCTCTGTAGGATGACAGAAGAGTAATAGTGAGCCCAGTGATAGCCAGAACCATGTTCCAGAGACCATCTTGCATCTGCATATCTAGGGGAAACATCAGATGACCATAACCACATGAGTGAATCCAGACAGACTGGTCGAAGATACCCCTAGCCAACCTACAGTTTCTGAAAATATTACGTTGTAGTTTTAAGTCATTGAGTTTTAGTTTAATTTGTTATGCAGCAACAGATAACTGAGATAGCACAGGTGAAAACATTGCTATTTATTTGTCCATTCTATAATGGACATTTGGATATTTCCAGGTTTTGGCAATTCCAAGTATTTCCACTATGATGTGTTTTAGGAAGCACATGTATGTATTTCTGTTGAATATATATCTAGAAGTACACTTGCTAGTTTGAGTATAAATAGATATTGGATACAGTTTTCCAAAGTGGCTGTATCAATTTTACTCCTATCAGCAATGTAACAGAGTTCCAATTGCTCCATATTCTCATTAATCCTTGGCACTGTCTCTTATTTTCACTTTAGTCATTCTGGTATGTAGTTAGTAGTATCTCACAGTAGATTTAATTTGAATTCTCTAATGACTAAAGAATTTGATCTTTTTCATATGTTTATTGGCCCTTGGGATATCTTTTTAAAAATAAAGTATTTGGTTAAAGTCTGTTACCCATATTATTATTAGATTGTCTTTCTTTTTCTTACTAGTTTTTAGAATTTCTTTATATATTTTGGTTACAAGCCTTTTATCAGTTTCATGTGTTAGGAACATCACTTCCCACATTGTGGCTTGTCTTTTTATTCCTGTAATGGTATCTTTTGAATGTTTGGATCATACCACCACTTAGGCCAACTGAGGTGTTAGCTGAGGGTGAGGGGAATTTAGAATGGATTTTGGAGAAGGGAGAACATATGTGACAATATGGTCCTAAGATCAACTGAGTGATGGGACTGTGGTTCATGCCACAGACCTCCCTCTTTTGGGTTTCTCCTTAGGAAGAGAGGCCTGTGGGAATAGCATAAAAGTTGGACTATGGCAGCAGTGAGATGTGCCTCACAAACCTCCAACCACACAGGGAGTGTGAGTAATGATCTGAAGCACCATTTTATTGTTTATTGGCCATTTATGTATCTTCCTTTGTGTAGTGTCTATACAGTTCTTTTGCTCATTTAAAACTTGGGTGTCTTTTTTTAATCATGTACACTAGTTGTTTATATATTGTGAATATGAATTCTTTGTTGGATCAATACATAGACACTATTTTTCTCTCAGTCTGTGGTTCTTAATGGTGTTTTTTTTTTGTGGGAAAATGATTTTCATTTTAACGAAGTCCAACTTAACTTTTTCTTTTTATGTTTAATGCTTTTTGTATCCTTCTCAATGAATTATAATGCATCACAAGTTCTTGAAAATATTCTCATAAAGGCTTTAGAGTAGACTGCATGTTAAAGCAATGTACACCATATCTTCACAAATTAACTTTTGTATATAACATTAGATTAAGTATAAAGGTTCTCTCAGATATGTAGTTGTTTCAGAATAATTTATTGAAAAAGCCACCCCCAACCACTGAATTGTATTGGTCAAAAGGAATTGATCATATGTATTATGTGGTATTTTTATCTCTCTTTTTCCTTGATCTGTATATTTTCTTTTGCATCAATACCAAACTGTCCTATTTACTGTAGCTTTATAGTCAATCTTAAATGTGATGCTGTAAGTCCTCTAACTTTGTTCTTCTTCAAAATTTTCTTAGATTCTCTAGATCCCTTATATTACCATGTGATTTTCAGAATCAGCTTTTCAAGTTCCATAAAAAAGTATACTAGGAATTTTATTGGGATTTCATTGAATCTTTTTTTCTTTTAAAATATGTTTATTATGTACTTTACATTGAGCACTTCAGAAAAGAAAATAATTACAATGATTTCAAAATACAATTCCTGGATTCAATAAATATTTTTTATGATTACATCCAATCAATATCTAGAATTGTATGTAGACCCTAAGACAATTAACAAGTAAAATAGCTATATTAATCTCAGGGATGAGAAACATGCATGATCACTTAAGTCACTTTATCACCCTGTTTTTTAAGAAAAACATGATTCACATTTGTTTCAAGTACGTGTACATCCATTGTAAGAGTTAAATTAGACTGCTGATATTAACACCTTAAAATTATGATCTTTGTTATCTTAAAAGAAAATTCAGTTCAGTACAAAGAAATTCAAGAAGAAAATTTCAGGACCCTTGATCAGAAGCTTTTGATGGTTGTTGTACTACTCTGGTGTACATAAAAGTTTAAGTTAGACTAATAAAGAAGAGTGTTTCCTCTTGCCATTAAAGATACAATCCAAGAAATAGGTAAACTAGCATTCCATAAACTAGCTAGCCCTCCAGAAGTTACTAAGAAAAGACTCTTGATGTATATGAGTACATTTAAAAGCCTTAGCCAATGTTACAAAAACAAAACATTTAGCATATTATTTATGAGCACAAGCATAATTGCTTTCTGTCTTCTATAAATAACCATCTTTCAAATGCTAAAAGTGAGTTCCAACTGTGGTTCTTTTCTGATGTGAGAAGCTACAGGTATGCATGAGATGATTACTGATTTACTTTCTCAAAGTATTCTTTGGAGGCAATTGGGTTTGGCTTGATTGTAGGAGAATCCAGTGTCTAGTTTTCAGGGCAGATTTCTTCATTGGGTTTCCACAAACTGAAATGGCTTTACCAAGTGGAGGGTCTCCTCTGCATTTTGGCCCACTGAGAAATCATTGATGCTCAGATACTTGACGACTTTACTGGGGTCAGTTATGAAGAGATAGATGTCTTAAAGCAACATCAGGGACTTCTAACAGTACACTGTAGTCTCAGGAAATCTGTTTAGTCAAATCTGACAAGAGTGTGATGTTCATGTTGCTCAAACTGCCATTCTTCCTTGGTGTGTTTATCCAGGCAAGATAGGTGAAGTGGGAATCTTGAAACTGCAGCAACTTCACAGTTTATATCATGAAATTCGTTGGCTTTGTCACTAACAGCATCAATTTCTGTAGGACAAACAAAAGTGAAATCCGAAGGATAGAAGAATAGCGCCAATATTTCCCCTTAAAGTCATCAAGCCTTAGGTCTTGGAACTCTCTGTTTACAACTGCAGTACCCTTTAAATAGGGTGTGTGCTACGTGCTGGCAAGAGCATAGTATGAGGAACTGGTGCCAAGAGCGAACTTTACTTGACCAGAACCAAATCATAACACATTTGTCAAGCGTGTTCTTCAGGAAACAGCAGGTCTAAGGCTGCAGAGGCATAGATGCCCCCAAGGAATAGCACTCACATGTTGGGTAATCCAAGCCTGGAGAAACCTTCACACTTTGGCTGCCATCTTCAGTGCACACTGGTTTTGTGAGGTAGACTGGGATTTCATTGATAAATTTGGGGGAGAATTGACCTCTGAACAATTGAATACTTAAGTACATTTACATGATAATTGTTTACTCCAGTCTTAGAGGTAACATTGACACAGCAGAAACACAACTCAAGGTTACAGGGTGAGAAGAATTACCATTGATAAAGAACAGAACAGGGTGAAAAGAATTACCATTGATAAAGAAGTGGTTGTCACCTGAAAGAAGATGATACACATGAAAATTAGAAAACAAACAAACACAAATACAGCATGTAGCAAATGAAATACTTAAGTAGAGAATGGAGCTAGTGGTAATAGAATCAACATTCAAATTCATGTTTCAGTATTTACTAAATTAAAGCAAATCAGTAAGGCTAATTATGTTTTAGGAAAAACTAACAGAGGATAACCACATTAAGATAAGATTTAGGGAAGTTACTGAATTTCAAAGACAAGGAATAGCATATAAGATTTCTGGTCAATACGGTATGTTAAACTGATACAGAAAATCATACTCCTATCTGAAACACATGTTGATAAATTTAACAATAAACTTTCAAAAATACATGTCAATTCTTGAAAGTACGTGGAAAGGCCCTAAGAACTAGAAATAAAGAAATATTGTAAAGCCATAATTGCAAGTGAGGGAGGCTGAAGCTGAATGGTTTTAGAACTGGACATGTGTTACTGCTGCTAAGGTTCCAAGATCTAGACTCAAATCAGAGATGAAATCTAAGCCTGTGCCTTGTAGGGAGCTTTCTACATAAAGCTTAGAACCATCAAATGTTGTCTAGTCCTTGAAATAGAGGCTAGAAAAACTACTCACAGACTGGGAGGTGCCCTAGCAATCTGAGTCATTCTAAAAATAAACATAGTAAATCCACATATGTAAAAGAGTCTCATATTAGTCAAAACACACTATGTAGATATATTTCATTTATAAATAGACACAAAACATTGTATCATGACCCAGAAAGGTAAAATATATTTCTGGAAAAATGTACCATAAAATATTAGTCAAGTAAATGCTTATTGATTAATAAACAAAAAATATTTAACATGCAAAGCATTTAATAGGAATGAAAAGGGATGCAATATAGATATAAAAGGAATATTCCACCAAGAAGCAATAAAATTAAAACTTTTATAACATTACCTCAAAACATTTAAAGCATATTTAAATATTAAATAAAGAGTGAAGGTGATCAAAAGGTACACACTTCTAATCATTAGATAAATAAGTCCTGGGGATGTAATATACAGCAAGGTGACTATAATTTACAATACTGTATTCTATATTTGAAAGTTGCTAAGAGGGTAGGTCTTAAAAGTTCTTATCACAAGAAAAAAATTTTGTAGAAATAATATTTAAAGCAAAAATGGACACAGTTGTAATTAAAATTTGACTAACCTATAGTTACAGCAGGAAATATGCATATGCCTTTTTTAGTAACTAATAAATAGACAAAATGTTTTCAAGGATACAGGTTTGAACAGTTCAGTTACCACGTTTTATCTAATAGATATGAGATATGTGTGAGACCTGATACATATAGTTCCTGACCATAACAAATAGAGAAGCCACATTCTTTTCAAGTACTGAGAGATTAATGTTTTCTATTATGTTAAAATGTTTCAAAAGTGATAGATTTTAAAAACAAAATGTTGTATATACAAAGTATAGAACAAGACAATATATATTGATAAAAATCAGACAGTGCAAACTTAGTATACATATAAACATATGTAATAAAATGTAGAAACCCAGATGAGCTGGTTGGTGGTTGTCTCTGAGAAGAGAGGTAGCAGAATGAGACCTCGGAGATGTATTAAGGGGACTTAAAGTCTGGAATGATTAGTTTATTAATAATAATTTATTTATTTTTTTTTCAACGTTTATTTATATTTGGGACAGAGAGAGACAGAGCATGAACGGGGGAGGGGCAGAGAGAGAGGGAGACACAGAATCGGAAACAGGCTCCAGGCTCTGAGCCATCAGCCCAGAGCCCGACGCGGGGCTCGAACTCACGGACCGCAAGATCGTGACCTGGCTGAAGTCGGACGCTTAACCGACTGCGCCACCCAGGCGCCCCTATTAATAATAATTTAAAAAAGACCTAAAGCAAACATAGTAAAATTTTTTAGCATATTGTTGATCCTGGATTGCAGTTACATTGGTATTTGCTATACTGTAATTTTCTGTATGTTTGGATACATCATAATATTTAAAAGGAGTGACTATAATCTTCTAGAAGAATTGATTGGTAGATAAGAACTTGCTTTTGGGATGATATGTCTTAAATCTTATCTTGATATATTCATATAAGCTTGATATTATGAACTCTGATAAAATGCAATGTCAAGAAGATCTTTATAAATTAGCAGCAGAGTTTTAACAAATTTCTTGGAATTTGTCTAAGAGAGTGCCTTAGAGTTACAACAGTTCAGGGGTATTTATTAAAATACTATAAATTCTGCCTTCCCATCACTAACATTGGAACTGATCACTTTCAGTGGATTTCAATAAACCTCAAATATTACAGAGTTGTTCTAAGAATTAATGGCAGTAATGTATGCCAGGCATATAATATAAATCAACAACAAAATTATGCCATAAAGATGCAGTATCCAAGCAGAAGATAAACATCAGTCAAAAGTATTAGGAAAAAACAAATCAAGGTGGCTTCAGTATTTTCTTGGGAGCATTAGATACCAGTAGTCAACCAAGCAATACACAAAGAGTCCTATGGGTAAGCTATGTGACCCCAATATTTCATATCAGCTATGTTTTCATTTATGTATGAAGGCAACCTAAAAATAAACTTAAATATGCAAGGGATCCTAAAATATATGATCTGTGTGTTCTTTCTAAGTAACTTACCTGAACAAGGAAAACTTCATCAAAAAAAGAATAACTCTGTTTTGTTTAATGTTCTCTGTATTGTGTTTATTTTGCCCAACATTGATATTGCTGTATTTGTTCTGTTTTTATTTGTGTAAATATCATTTTCCTTTGCCTACCCTTTTATACTAAAGCTATAAATTACATTGTTTTATATCATCTTGGATACAGTATGTGATTGGAACTTATTTCTTTTACCTCTTTCAATTTAGGAGTCAATTTATTTTAGAACATGATTTTTATCTCTCTTAACTTCTATGATACATATTTGGACTTAATTCTCTTGTATCAGTGTTTATTTATGTATGATCCTATTTTTGGTTTTCTTGCTGTGTTTTGTTTCCTTTCTGTTGATATATGATATCTCTTTCCTTTATGCCTCCTCCCAAGTCCTTCATCATATCTCAGTAACTTGAAAATATATACTGCAGCATATTTTTAGGTCTATTAGTAATTATCTCCATTAATTTAAATATTCTTATATTACAGCTTGAGAAATGAAATGGCATATATTGATCGCCCTCATATAAAAGATGAAGAATTAGCAAATGTCTATTTTTGTTCTTCTCACCATTTTGTTAGCATATAGTTAGTCTCTTTATATAGCTTTTGTTTAAATAATGATAACAATTGCATTCTTGTTTGTAGAGAGCTGTATTACATCAGTAATGTAAGCCCACAGAGCAAGAAGATTTAAAAAGTAGACAATGACTTGAACAGTTATAAATATACTAATTAATAGAATATTCCATATTTAGTGCCTTTCAGACAGAAACCAACTAGTTTTGGGGCACCTGGATGTCTCAGTAGGTTATATCTGACTCTTAGTTTTGACCCAAGTCATGATCTCACTATTGGTGGGATTGAGACCTGTATTGGCTCCATGCTGTCTGTGGAGCCTCCTTGGGATTCATCTCTCTCTCACTCTCTGTCTCTCTCTCCTTCTCTATTCCTTCCTGTT